AGCAGGCGGGGCACGCCGGGCAGGGGCGCCCTGGGCTCCTCGGCGGCCACCGCCCCTCCTGCAGCTGGAGCGCTTCCAGAGCCGAGGCGCAGCCTCGCTCGGCCGTCCTCCCCCTCCTGCGCCGGCTCCTCCCGCTCGCCTCCAGCCGCGGCTCCAGCAGTCGGCTCCCGGCGGCGGACGAGCGCGCCTCCCCCGCCTGTCCCTCCCTCCCCCCACCTCACGCTCTCTCCGCTCTAACTTTCCCGAGCCCCGACCGGCGGCGCAGAGCTCCCCGGCAGCTTCGGGGCCGACTGCCGACTGCGGGCGGAGAGCGCGGCTGTGCCCAGTGTCCCATCCCCGCGCCCCCGGTGCGCTGCGGAGAGAACGGGACGATGCCCGGGGCTCGGGACCGAGGCAAAGCCCTGGCGAGATGGCTGGGCACGGGCCTCTTGGGTAAGGCAGCCCCAGCTTGGTCTCTTCTCTTCCCCCTTCCCCCCACCCCTGTACACCAGAGGAAGGGACACTTGAGAAGAGGGGTGCCTTGGACGGGGTGGGTTTTGGAGTACGACACGGAATTAGCACCGTGGCAACCGGCTTCCCGCCGGACGCCTGGCTCAGAGGCTGTGTGCTTCCTGGGACCATGCATGTCCCCCATCCTTTCAACCCGCCAGCGTCTCCATTAGTTTTTTTCCCCCCATCTCTGGCACCTTCAGGTCCAGGTTTTTGGAGCTGGGTTTTGGAGCTGCAGGGCAGGTTTCCCGAATTCAGAGGTTCAGGCGCGCTGGGGTAGGGGGTCTGTGCCTTGGGTGTAGGGGATGCCAGGTGGGTTGCACGTGTGATTGTTGGGATGGTGGTTTCCTCCCCTGCCCAGAGCTGTTTGCGTGTTTCCCAGGCATTGGGCATGCACCAATGGGGGGGGGGGCGCCCTTTCCTCTCTGGCCCTTTTTCTGCTTAGCTCCTCTGCTCTCTCTCTCCTCCAGTGCCCACTGCCTTCCCTGCAGCTCCACACTAGTTACTGGCAGGGGATGGAGGGGCTTGGAGGGACATTCAGAAGCCGCCTTTTAGGAAGGATCTTGTCTCTTCCTACAAAGAGCTTACATAGGGAGGACCTGTTTAGTCTGTTCCTGGCTCTTCAGTTTTGGGGTGAATATGATGACTGAGGAGACATGTCCAGAGGATACAAAAGGAACAGAGTATTATTAATATCTATTAATATGCACATGAGTGTCAAACTCTAAGAGATTAGGGAATGATATTTATTAGTCCGGAATGTAATCTCCTCATAAATCATAGCCGGACTTCAATGTAAGCCGACTCTGTCTCTGGCACCTGCACCTCTTCCTGTTTATATTTGTCAGATGTGACTTCTGGCAGCTCTCCCTGTTGGGTTAGACACATGGTATAGGTTTTGTGCTGAAAACAGGGAGACAGAAGCCTATTAGGGGAACCACTGCTATTTCTGCAAATGTGAACTGTATGCAGCCTGTCCCATTGGTAACTGGGGGTTGGAGGATATCGAGTATTTCTCTCACTCAAGAGCTACTGGTTTATTTACATCCCTTCAGCTAGACAGAACTCACTGATATTTTCTCCTGTACCACTGGCACAGATGTCATGCTGGCTTCACAGTGACCCTAATGAAGTGGGCCTCAGTGAGGCCTAAAGATCCTCTTCATGGGGTGGGCACAGAGCTACTCCATATGAATTCACTGTCATTCCTTCTCAGATCAGCCCAGGTCCCCACTGTGGCCAGCCAAGGTAAGGGATCACTGAGGAATTCAAACTCATGCAGTCATTAGACTACCCCTCTTTACATCTCTGTCTTCCCTTCCTCCCACTGTCCAGTTTGATGATGGGATGCCAGTACCTGGGACTCCATATGAATTCACTGTCATTCCTTCTCAGATCAGCCCAGGTCCCCACTGTGGCCAGCCGAGGTAAGGGATCACTGAGGAATTCAAACTCATGCAGTCATTAGACTACCCCTCTTTACATCTCTGTCTTCCCTTCCTCCCACTGTCCAGTTCGATGATGGGATGCCAGTACCTGGACTGTCCAGTTTGATGATGGGATGCCAGTACCTGGGCTGTCAGAATATTCATAGAACCAGATTTCTGTGGGCAACCGAGAAGGCCCTGAAAATCATGTGTATGTGTGTGTGTTGGGGGAGGTGGTTGTGGGCTGAGTCTCGGTACATTTCTCCAGGTGGAGCCTCCCCGCCAAAAATTGTTTGGCTGGATAGAACAGGTAGGGGTGGGGACCCACTGGAGCAGATTTATATGAATCCCTAAGCCACCCTTTGGGAGCCCAGGAGAGAACAGAATGACTTATAAGTGGGAGACTAGCAGGCCCCAGAACTGGCCCTATCTGTTTTGCCCCCTGCTCCTCTGGTCTGCAGAGGGATTACTACCAGGGTCCCTCCTTAACCCTTGCCCAGGTAGCCGCTGACTGAGCCCTCACAGGAGCATTTCTCTGAGCTTGGGACATAGATGACATCCTTGTTCTCAGTCTAGTGGGGGAAATGTGGAGATGACTGGACAGCCAACTGGAGATGTTCTGTGAGAGCACCAGAGATGGCAGGGGTCTTGGAAGCCACAGCACAGAGCTCTCCTAAGGAGGAGGAAGTCATGGCCCAGAGAGGGACGGTGACTTGCCCAAGGGTGCTTGTAATTGATGGTCAAGTGAGACAGAATCCAGGTCTTCTGGGCTCTGTTACACCACGCTGCCTCCCAGTTAATGGAAGTCTAGTGAAGGGGACGGTCAATAGGGATTGTGCTTAGGGCTGAAGAACGAGTGAGGCTGTGGGACACGGGCTTGCGGGTCCGGAGCTGCTGTTTCACAGCTGTGCAGACTGAGTGCGGAGCAGTAAACTCCCAGGAGTCCTCTTCCCTTCTCCCCTTATCAAACTCTGTGTCACAAACTGAGACTAAAGTGATTTTTGATACCTTTTCTTAAACAGAGAAGCAGTTTCCAAGGCTGTATTATTGCAATTTAGGTTTTTTGGGTCCCAGTCTCTTCCTGAGCATGTAACTGGTAATGTATCTGTCCTGCCCTCCCCTTCCTTGTTCCTTGATTTGCTTAATTGCTGTGATCTGTGTTTAATTATCACTGTGAGGATGCTGTGTTGCACAACCCTCTTTCCCGTGGTATGTATTTATTAAGGGCTTGTTTAATGAAAACACAATTAAGGAGAGGGTGCTCGGTCCCACTCAGAAGAAGAAAAAGGAAAGAGTAAGCAAAGAGTTCATGGGAAAAAGGAGAAGAAAGGGGAGAAGTGGAGGGAAACCCCGCTTTGAACCTGGAAATGATAGGTAGTTCTCTTTCTGAATCAGCTGGAGGTGCAGGCCTGTAGGGGAACCCAAGACAGAAGGCTGAGGTCCCAAAGCCTTTATGACTGGTCACCTCCTGGTGGGATCAGCATGATAGGTAGACTCTGGGCACAGCAAACCACCTTGCCCTTTTGCTGTCTTTGAGGGAGTGTAGGGATTTCTGTATGGGCCATAGGTGGGCTGTGCCTCTTTCGCCTATAAGAGGAGGGGGGCAGGCACATTACTTGGTCTTGTTTGCAAAGCTGGTTTTGTTGAGCATCCGCTGCAATCTCAGAGGCATGCTTCTATCCCAGCAAAGCTCCTGGGGGTGGGCAGGAAGGAGGTGGTTGCCTAGGGAGAGGAAGCTAAAATCTTTCCTTTGGCCCAGGGGCCCTGCCTGGCCCAGCCCTGCCTCCCACAGCCCCCAAGGCCTCCACCCCAGGAGGGTTCCTGTCCTGCTGGCCTTGGCCCACTTTCTGCCTCTTAGCTCTAAGTGTGAGCCTCTCTGACTCCCCCAGGGCCAAGTGTCTCAGCCTCGCTATTAAAGTCAGCCGTGTTTCCGCCTGCCATGCCAGGCGGGCCCTCAGAGCTAAACTTAGAGTGGGTACCATCCTGTCTCTCTGTCCTCCCCTGACCCTGGGGCAGGTGTGTCTGATCCCTGGATGTGGGGAAAGGTAGCAGGTTTCCTGCCTTGGCATTTGCCTTGAAGTATGTGGTGGCTGCTATAAGATTCCTGCTGGTGTAAATATTTAATAACATTTGGGTGTGCTGAATACTTTTTGACTTTAGCAAAACTTGGGAATCCCGAATTAATCCTCAGACAAAACCCCGGCACACAGATGAGGATGGGAAGAGGTTGAGGACTTCAGAGAGCGGCAAAGAAAATGGTTTCTGAGAATGGCCAAATGATTAGGACCTTTCAGTGAGGAAAGGCAAAACTTTGGGGTCTAGGACAGAATTCCATAGGCTCATGACTAGGAGACTTGTTCATTAATCCTGCAGTGCCAGAAAGAGGTCCCATCACCCACATACGCTTATACCTTGACATTCTAAATAGGACAAAGAAAGTCCTTCTTTACTCCAGGGAAATAGCCACATGGAAATAATCCAAGATATGATGCAGGGTGAAAGTATAAATCAATGTGCAAATGGCCTGGAGACATTCTTGGTTAGTCTTTAAGGAAAGCAAGGGGTGCCCTGGCTACATCCAATCCTGTGGTGGGGACAGCCCTGTCCCCATCCCCCCTTTCAAGCACCATCCTCCTCTACATGTAGGGTGCTCAGTCACTGAAGCCCTTCTTGTGTTTTATAACCTCATGTTTTGGCTTCACACCAAGCTCTGGAGGTAGGACGGACAGCCATCCCTGCCCTGGTTTGGGATGTACACACCGGATGTCAAGGTCAGCAGGGAGAGTGGGGCCTGCCTTGCACCTGTGACCAGCCTTCTCCTGCTTGGTCATCTGCTGAAGCAGCCCTCCGGGGGGCCTCTGGTGGACCAACACCTGCCTCTGGCTACCTCGTCTGCTCCCCCAGCACAGCCTCACAGTTGAGGCAGGACCCTGGGCTCTCCTGTGCCTGAGCCTCCCAGACATAGCTGGCAGGACCTCATGACACCCACTGGGGGAGCCTGGCTGTGGAGAAGCCCACCCTCTCTGATGCCTTAACCCGCGCAGGACTCTGGACTCTGTGGAAACCATTTCTGTTGTTTTCCTTTGTCCTCTCCAGGCTACTGAGGAAACGGCAACGTTTCACTGAGAGTCCCAAGTGTATTAGAGTTAAGTCATCCACATAGGCACACACAAAGCAGGCAGAAATGTGCACTGTGTCCTGAGCACACCTTAAAGAAATAGTGTTCTCCTCTGTTCTGGATCCTTCTTTTGTTCTTTTTTGCTTTTATTTAAAGCCACCAAAAATTTTCTCTTTTGATGTGCATCTTTTGTGCTCTTGAATATCTCATTCTGGATGGGGTTGGGAAGGGGAGTTTGGCCCCTGATTTGAGTTCCTCCATCTTCTCCAGGGCCCCGGTTTCTGGACTGGGGTACCAATGAGCACTGGAGTAGGAATGGCCATGCTCCTTGAAGCCCTGAGGGAGGCCTGTGGCTATCAGGAAGCTGCCTTCTCCTGGGAACTTCCCTGTCTACCACTCTGCACCCTGCTGCTTAGCTCGTGGGGAGTGTGGGGGGTATATGCAGAACTGTGGTCTCCCACCAGAAGCCCATCCAAGGGTACAATCCTGTGCCTGGCTCCTGTCCCTAGACTTCTGGGGGAGGTGGGGGCGGGGGACAGCAGAGGTAAGAGGAAAACCAGGAGCTCTAAGGAGCTCTAAACCCTGACAGCATTGTTCTCTTGGAGAGGCATGGTCACAGCGTGGTGAAAAGCAGACATAGCTCTGAATGCTGTTGATTCCACTCTTCGAGTGCATAGCCTTGAGCAAGATAATCTCTTTGAGCCTGTTTCTTCATTTGTTATTGGGAACACAAATAATAACTACCTTATAGGATTGTCATGAAGGTTAAATGAGACAGTGTGTCTAAAATGCCTATCTTATCTTCTAACAAGTGCTCAGTCCCAGATTCGCCATTTGCTATGTGGCCTTGGGCAAATCATTCTAACTTCTCTGAGCCTCAATTTCATCATGTATAAAATGAGAAACATTATACCTACCTTTCAACATTCTAATAAAAGTTGGAGTTCATATGCATAAATCCTCTAGCAAGGTAGTTCTCAAAGTGCGGTCCTGCTCACAGCATTCCCAGGGAACTTTTCAGAAATGTAAATTATTAGGCTGCACTGAGACATACTGAATCAGAAACTCCAGGGGCTGGGCAAGCTAGCTGTAACTGCCTTGCAGGTGTTTTGTATGCTCTCTCAACTTTGAAACCACTGCTCTAGAACAATTCTGGCACATAGGAGCTGACCAAACAATGAGAGCTAATTGAAATAACTTCCCAGCACTAACTGGACTCCTGGTAGGCAGATTTGGCTATTTTAGAGGGAACCACTGCTCTAGAACAATTCTGGCACATAGGAGCTGACCAAACAATGAGAGCTAATTGAAACAACTTCCCAGCACTAACTGGACTCCTGGTAGGCAGATTTGGCTATTTTAGAGGAATTTTTTTTTTTTTTTTGCTTTAGGACCATGGGTTGCTGGATAGAAATGTCTTTCTTGTTGACTTTAGGCAAGTTACCTCTCTGGACTCAGTTGTCTCATCTATAATATGGAGCCGTAACAGTAGGTCACTTGTAGGGTAGTTATGAAGATAAAATGTGCCTGGCACATGTTAAATGCTCAATAAGTGTCAGCTATTACTGCTATTATCAACAGTGGCAGGTCTCATGATTGGGTTACTGGACAACAGGGTGTGATTTTTGAGCTGGGGGGTGTGAGCCCTCCACTATGTCACAAGCTAAGGGGACATGAAGAAGCTGAGGGAGCAGGGCTGCCAGCTCTCTTCAGATCTCCTTCTCTGTCACTTAAAAAGCATTGCTCTGTCCACACCATGCATCTATTGTCTCGCTTGGGGAAAACAAGAGGAAACTGGCTTATGATGCAGCACGAGGGAATTAAGTTAGACAACAGAGGCCTTCCCTAAGAGCTAGGATGGGAGAAGGTGCCCATTTCCACTAGGGGCAAGGAGAGGTAGGCATCCAATCCTGGGTGCTCGCCCCCAACGACCTTGAGGCCACGGGGTTTCCTGGAGGAAGCTGCAGGACAGGAGGAGGGCCAGGTCCCCTTACAAGGGCTTGGGAAAGGGGGGCGCTCGGGACTTGAGATCGGAGGGGACAGAGAGTCCAGTGCCCTCCTCGCCCCAGCTCCGCATGCGTGCGTTCGGGTTCGTTGCGAACAACCTCCCAGGGTGTCTTCGGCCCACTTACCCTCTTCCTCTCTCCCATCGTTGCTTTACTCGCTCTGCCCTCGCTGTGCCTCATCCCTCACCCCCTTCCAGCTCGGCCTGGTCTGCCTTCCCTTCCATTCTCAGGATCCCTTTCAGTGGCCGGAGGGCGTTGGACTCAGATGGCCAAGCAAGGCCCAACCCGAAGGTGTCCCTATGCCTCTCCGCCCTTCGGGACCGGGCAGGAGCCTCCAGGGCTCCGTGGTGAGAGGCCGTTGGACAGTGGCCGGGGGCTGTGGCTGCTGCTTTTCTGTACTTCACTTTACGGGACCCCGCTCGCCACCCCCGACCCCAACCCCTAAAACGTAACGAGGAGGCGCGCGTCGTTCTGGAGGAAATTCCCACGCAAATAGAAGGGAACCCGCACTTCCAGGGTGGGCGCAGAGAGAGCACTTGCAGGGACTCGGTCTCCAGGAGAGGGGGCGCAGCGGGGCGCGGATTCGCGCAGTGGCCTGGGCCTCGTTTTCTTGCGTTGGGGTGACCCCTGGTGGTCATCGGGAGTGCCACAGGGGCTACTAACCGGCCCAGAATTCAATCCCGCCCAGGCGAAGGGGAAAAATGGAGAATTATGGCGGGTGGGCCAGGCGGTGTCAATTGAAGGAAAAAGAACCATCCTCTTGAAGTTGACACTGAGGGTGACAGAGACCTCCCTGCCTGGCCAAGACGTTTCTCCCTGCCCGAGCATCCCCTTCCAAAGCTTCAGCCTGGAGGATCCTGTGGGGTTTTATTAAGGGAGGTGGTGCCCCTTACACAGGTCTTTTCCTGCTGCCCTTGTCCCTGTCCCTGGAGGTGTCTGTGGGAAAAGCCACCACCATCTATGCTGTCAACGGCACGGAGATTCTGCTGCCCTGCACCTTCTCCAGCTGCATTGGCTTCCATGACCTCAGCTTCTGGTGGACCTATAACAGCACTGACACATTCAAGATGGTAAGTAGTGGGGGGAGGGACAGCTCAGCCCAGATTCTCCCTCCTGTCACTCATGCAGGCCGCCCATCCCAGGCTCTGGTCCCTTCTGGACTGAGTCTTGCTGAGCTGGTCCCCAGAACCCACCTTTTTTCACTCTTTCTTCCAGCATTCTTTTTGGAGCATGCTTGGAAGGACCTAAGTGGGAGAGGTGCTTAGATGGTGTTGCCAGGAGTTTCGGGTCTGTTAGAATTCTTGCCTAGAGTCCTCTTGTCTTAAGAAAATACCTGGAAATTGGATTGCTTGTATAAAAATTAATAATTTAATTTAACAAACAAGAGAAACAAAGACCTTTGGAAGGCTTGGAGAGATGGAATGAGAAGAGTCCAAATGAGAGAAGGGCTGAGAAACTGGACTTGGGAGGATGGGAGAGAGGAAGCTAGAGAAGAGCAGGAAATCCAGGAGCACTGACA